TCTATTCAGGTTGAGACCAGCCTGTAGTCCAGTGAGAGTCCTTTAGTGTGACTATATATATATATTTACGGACTATTAGCTATTGTTGAATTGTTTAGGATGTACATGCGTATCGGGCCTCTGTTTGGATTGTAGTAGTATAGAACTTGCACGTGGGCCTATCTCACTTCTATTTTTCAGGTACACGACAGATCCAGACTTAGACGTGTTCGTGCTGAGCAGAGGTTTCTACTCACTCTACCAACGATGTAGGATTTCTCTCCATAACTTATATCAGGATGTTCTTTCAGATGTTCTATTTTAATTTAGACTTTTATTAGGGGTCCACTAGAGTTGGATTCCTAAGTTGTTAAACTTATGGAGTTTTGGATTATCAGATTTTCAGTATTCAATTTTTAAAGGATTTATATTTAGTTTCTTTCAGCTTAAAATTTATTTCTTAATTCAATTTGTATTCTATGTTCATTATAAAATATTAATTGTTTGATATTCCGTTGGGTTTGGGCCTGGGCCTGATCAACCCGTGTCTCGGATCCGAGGGATATCACACTGAGCCTGAGGGGATGTTTGCTGAACCGGACACTTGGGGTCCAAAGTAAATGAATAATTCCCCGACGCTGAGCCTAAGGGGATGTTTACTGAACTGGACACTTGGGGTCCGAAGCGAATGAACTACTCCCCGGCGCTGAGCCTGAGGGGATGTTTGCTGAACCGGACCCCGGCGCTGAGTCTGAGGGGATGTTTGCTGAACCGAACACTTGGGGTCCGAAGTGAATGAATAATTCCCCGGTGCTGAGTCTGAGGGCATGTTTGCTGAACCGAACACTTGGGGTCTGAAGCGAATGTATTACCCCTTGGCGCTGAGCCTGAGGGGATGTTTGCTGAACCGGACACTTGGGGTCCGAAGCGAGTTTCGGAAGTTGTTTTTTTTTTTGTCTTGCAAATAATCGGTCACGAGGCCGAAGAGTCAGAAAATGACAAGAGGCCAAGAAAGAGAATAACAGTGACTGTGCAGTCTCCCATTCGTGTATTTGGGCGACTTTCTTCCACTGAGATTCTCTTCTTGGCAACCATATGTGGTGGACCAGGTATATATCAATTGCATCCCTTTTCTAATTCTATTCGATGTGGGACATAGATGAATATAGGTCTATAACTCTAGTGTTACAAAAAGGTCAGTGTAAGGAATGCCTCTGGTACTAGGCTTAGCCGCTTTCAATACCAGTGGGCCCTCCTTACACTGCACTCAACTATTTTAATATTTCCATATATAATGGAATGCAAAACGTATATGGAATGCAAAATGTACTTTTTTTTATCGATGTGGGATAGAGACTATTACTTTTCATATGGGCCAGAGCTTAGGGTTTTTGTTTGTAAAAAAAGGATCATTATGGCTTTTTGATATCAATCATTATGGCCTTGATATTGCTTTTTGGCATAAAAATTACATACTGCGTCTTGGCATAAAAATAAAAATTGGCATAAAAATTACAAAATGCGTCTTGGCATAAAAATAAAAATTGGCATGAAAATTGCATAATGCATCTTGGCATAAAGGCATAAAAATAGTTGTTATAGGGTACCAGTATAGCCCCCATTTTTATGGAAAGACAGAAATGAAGTAGAATTGTATCCCACACCGAAAATGATAACATAAAGAAATAAATGAACTGATAGTGGGCATAAGCAGCCTTATTTGTGTGAAAAAATTCTTGTAAAACTTATCTAATGGTAGTACCTTTTAAGGTGTATCGCATTCCAAGGACGCGCAATGGGACTCCCGTCAGTTTCGGCCAAACGGTATGCTCCCTTCCCCACTACTTCGGTAACCCTATAGAGTCTGATCCAATTAGGCTCAAGTTTCTTTACATGAGTTGTCTTTTGCTTCAAAACCCAATCGCCTACCACAAACCTCCTGAACCGGACACGTTTGCTATAACTGCGGCGTAACTGTTGCTGGTACGAAGCAAGCTTAATTGCTGCAGTATCCCTCTTTTCGTCCAGGTGATCGAGGCTGTGTTCAAGCTGCTGCCCATTGTCTCCTTCAAGTAATAAGAATGTCCGTAGGGTTGGGACGGCTGCCTCAGTTGGGATCACAACTTCGGAACCATAGGCCATGGCAAATGGACTCTCCCCGGTGGGCCGTCGTGGAGTGGTCCGGTACGCCCAAAGCACCTGAGGGAGATTCTCGTACCATTTTGTTTTGAGTTTCTCCAACTTCTTCTTTAGACAACTGAAAATCATGCGGTTAGTTATTTCAGCCTGCCCAGTTCCTTGTGGATGATTAACTGCAGCCAGCTTTTACGCAATTCCATGTTCAGTGAAGAATTTTCTTGTACTCTTATTGTCGAGGTCTGTACCGTTGTCCATCATAATGACCTTTGGTACCCCAAACCGGCAAATGATGTTGTTCCAAATGAAACTTTTTACCTGCTCATGGGTCACACTTGAATAAGCCCTGGCTTCTACCCATTTTGTGAAATAATCTGTAGCAAGCAGCGCAGTGCGTATTCCTTTTGTTCCACGATTTTGGGTAAAGGGCCCACCATATCAATCCCCCATTATGTGAAGGGCCACAGATTTGCCATTGCGTGCAAATCTTTGGCAGGTTGATGCTTCATTAGACCGTGGCGCTGACATTTATCACATCTGCGAGCATACTCTTTAGCATTCCGAGCCAAGTATGGCCAAAAGTAGCCTTGAGTTAGAACCTTATGTGCGAGGGATCTGCCCCCAGAATAGTTGTCGTAATCTCCATCATGAATCTACTTCAATACCACTAGAGCCTCAGTGGGGGCTTAAACATTTCAGGTAAGGACCTGAAAATGACTTTCGGTACAATTGGTTATTAATGATGGCATATTTAGCTGTGGTGAGTCTGAGTTTCCGTGCCTCATTTTTTTGGTTTGGAAGAGTTCCATGCTTGAGGTAGGCTTCCAATGGGTCAATCCAGCATGGCTGTCGCGGAATGACTGGGATCACCATTACCTCTTGTCCAGAGTTGATGCTAGGTTCGTCTAAGATGTCAATTGGCACAATCCGAGTCAGATCTTCATTTGAGGATGAAGCTGCTGTGGCCAATTGATTTGCTTCAGCATTCTCAACACGAGGTACTTGGTTGAATTTCTATTTGATCAAATCTTTGTGTAACATTCTCCACAGCTTCTTGTATGCTTTCATTCTTTCTTCTTTGGGATGATATTGACCTGTCACTTGATTTATAACAAGTTGTGAGTCACTAAAAATTTTTAAACATCGTACCTGAAGCTGGCTGGCCAATCGAAGACCAGCGAGTAAAGCCTCATATTTGGCCTCATTGTTAGTAGCAGGGAAATTCAAGCAAATTGACTGCTGCAATTTGGTGCCTTTGGGTGTTGATATAACTACCCTAACTCCTGCACTTGTTTGGTTTAAGGAACCATCAACCCGAAGCTCCCACTATGGTTCAGGGAGTTCTGGTCCTTCGGGAGTGTCCTCATATTCTAGGAAAAAATCTGCTAAGGCTTGTCCCTTGTGTGACACCTCCGGCTAATAGGTTATGTCGAAGGAACTGAGCTCAATGGCCCATTGGTAATCCTTCCAGATAAATCTGGCTTAGAGAGTATACCCCGTATAGGGTAGTTAGTGAGTACCACGATGCTATGAGATTCGAAATAATGCTGAAGCTCCCTCTTCGCATAAACCAAGGCTAGGATGATTTTTTCTGCTTTGCTATACCGTGTCTCTACATCCGTCATTATCTTACTTATGTAGAAGACTGGGTATTGATTCTTTCCTTCTTCTCTAATTAGCACTGCACTTGTTGCTATGCTGGAAATTGCTAAATACATAATAAGAACTTCTCCCGATTTTGGAGCGGATAGAATTGGAGGTTCAGCCATGAAATGCTTCAACTGGTTGAGGGCCACCTGTTGCTGAGGTCCCCATATATCTTTGTTCTTAGATCTTATGACATCGAAGAACGATTTGCACTTATCTGATAATCGAGATATAAACCAGCTAAGAGCTGCGATATGACCGGTTAAAACTTGCACCTCCCTACGAGTTTTTGGTTCTTGATTTTGCATGAGGGCCTTAGCCTGAGCCGGGCTTACCTCTATCCCTCTCTTATTCACTATATGGCTGAGGAATTGACCTAACGACACCGCAAAGGAACACTTGGAAGGATTCAGCTTCATGTTATACTTCTTCAGAGTGTCGAAGATTTCTTGGAGGGGCTTCGAATGGTCTTCCTTCTTCACACTTTTGACCACCATGTCATCTATGTACGCTTCAACCATCTTTCCTAACAAATTATCGAAGATCTTATTAACAAGGTGTTGATAAGTGGCCCCGGTATTCTTCAGCCCGAAGGGCATGACCTTGTAACAATAGGTACCATTTTCTGTAATGAAAGCAGTTTTCTCTTCATCTTCTAAATTCATGGGAATCTGATTATATCCTGAGTACGCATTAAGGAATGTGAGCATCTTGTAGCCAGTAGTAACATCTACCATCTGATCTATCTTTGGCAGAGGGAAGCTATCTTTAGGGTAGGCTTTGTTAAGGTTGGTATAGTCTACGCAAACCCTCCAATTCCCATTCTTTTTTTAGACGACCACTACGTTTGACAGCCATTGTGGATATTGCACCTCTCGAATAAAACCTGCTTATAACAGCTTGTTCACTTCTTCAGCTATAATGCGATTGCGTTCAGGAGCAAACCTTCGGTGTTTCTGCTTAACCGGTTTAAACTCCGGATCCACCTTTAGGTTATGGCAAGAAACTAAAAGGTCTATCCCTACCATATCCGAATGATCCCAGGCAAAAGCTTCTGCATTACTTCGAATGGCGTTGATTAATGCTTCCTTCTCCTCAGATGTGGAGGAAGAGCCCAGATAAGTAACCTTCTAAGGATCGCCGAGGATAACTTCTATGGCTTCAAGGATCTCCTCGGTAGGCTTTGCAGCTTCTTCCTCCTCTGCCTTAAGATACTTGGGCAGAGGACTCTGTAATTGCTATTTAGGTGTATTTCTGGGAGTCATGCTTGGTTGAGGTTGTTTAGGCATCTTCTTTGCTTCAGCCTGGGTCAACATATAGCATTCTTTCGCAGCGACTTGATCTCCCCATAGATTAATAACATCTTTTCCATCCGAAGACAAGCACCGCATCACTTGATGAAGGGTGGACGGGACTCCATTCATTCGGTGTATCCAGCCTCTTCCCATGATGAGATTATAGGAAGGGTGGATCTCTGTTAAGACAAAGTTCTCCTTCAGAGTCCTCTTTACCGCAGTTATGAATAAGACAATTACCCCAAAGGGATCTACTTTTATGCCATCGAACCCCATCAACAGGCTAGAAGTAGATCGAATTGATGATGACGGGATCTCGAGCTGCTCAAAGACCGCCTTCGTGATGATGTTGGCACTGCTCCCTGGGTCTATCAAAACCCTCTTAATCACGCAATTCGCCACTAAGAGATTGATAACCAATGGATCCTCGTAGGGAATTTGAACTCTGGATAGGTCGCCATTGTCAAATCCAATACTGATGCTGCCCGAAGCGATAACATTGACCGAGGATAACTTTCTGAGCTTATGGGCTGCCCTCAATCTGGATCTGTATACCACCTCAGACTCTTGATCATCTTCAGATCTGCCATGTATTGCGTGAATGACTTTTACTTTATTACCCTCTACTTTACGAAGGTTGACCTCGCGGGGCTTTATATACTTCTTTGTCGTGAGAAAATCTGCCAACTCACCTCTGGCTATCATGCTCTCCAACTGTCACTTAAGGGATCTGCAATCATTGGTTGAGTGCCCATAATCTTGATGATAAGCGTAATGCTTGCTTTTGTCCCTCTACTCTATGGGTTGCTTCATTGGCTGCGGGGTCGTGAACCTCATCTTATTCTCTTGGAAAAGCCGAGCCAAGGTAGTTCGGAGAGGTGTAAATCCTTCATCTACCCTTTGCCTCTTCTCGGGTGCCTGGGTTATTGGCGTTGAGGTTCGCTGGCTTTTCTGGATTTTTGAATCTGGAATTCTCTCCTGAGGTTTGTTCTCCACTGTCACGAGGGTGGCGTGCTGCGCTCAGTGGGCTACGTTTTCTTCGAGCTGGATATAGATCTGGGCCCTGGCATTGAGAGTCTGCATATCGGGAGGAGAATACTTGACCAAGGAAGTATGAAACTTAGTCCCTTGAATTATTACAAGTTTGAATGTCTCTATAGCAGTTGCGGGATGACAATCTGTTATTTCCGAGGCTTCCATGTTGAATCTGGATAAGAAATCCTGCAGTGATTCCCCTTTCTTTTGCCTTACGGTGAAGAAGCTGGCAATACTCTTCTTTTGTTTCTTATTTCCACAGTATTGTGCTAGGAACATAGTGCACAGAGTTACGTAATCCGAGATGGATTTGTGTGGCCTATTCCTGAACCACTCGAGTGTAGCTCCTGTCAGACTGGTAGGAAAAACTCTACACATCCATGGATCATTGCAGTTGTCCAAAGCCATTTTTTGGGCGTAGTGATCCAGATGTCGAGAAGGATCTCCCGTACCGTCAAATTGAGTAAAAGAAGACATGGTGAATTTCTTGGGCCTCTCGACCATATACACACCGTTAGTGAAAGGAGTCTTCACCAGGGAGTTTTTGTGCTCTCTGGTCATCTCAGTGGGTGTTTGAATCTTCAGGAATCTTTTCTCATCAAATGCATCATGTACACCAAAGCCATCTGGAATACCATTGGACCACACCGTAAGCTTACGGCTAGACTCGGCCTGTTCGTCTTGTGTGCGGCGAGGGAAGTTATCCGAAGCAATTACCTCGGTCCTTGTCCTCTGTTGTTGCTGAACCTCATTTGGCTGAGCTTCGGTGGGTTGTGCCCCATTAAGTTGAGGCTCGTTAACCGGAAGGATATTCTGATTAGGGGGTGGTGCTGCCGTATCACCTGGTGGTGGTAGTGGTGTCAACTGATCTACCGCCGTTTGGAGAGTGTTGTTCTGCTGTTGAAACAAGGCGATCTGGGCTACGCTAGCTTCGTTCGCTTGACGTAGTACTTCAAACTGGTGCAAAAACTCTTCACGCATCATCTGCATCAATTCCGTCTGTTGATTCGCTGAAGATCTTCCGTTCAACATCCCAGACGGTAGTAGTAGAATTTACTTGAAACAAAAGTGGGAATATATTTGCATACAATTCCCACAGACGGCGCCAAAGTGTAGGTGCAAAATTTCGCTCAACCAATAATGATTGAGAAAAATAAAACAACTCACTCAAAAAAACAATAAGAATAAATAAGAATTATGTATAGAGAAGCGTAGAATTGCTTGATCCTTTTATTAGAGGTTTAGGCCTCTATTTATACATAAAAATTAGTAGAATTAAGGTAGGATTTGCATTGCTTGTCCTCCAATTCTTCCCATACATGACTTTCTTTACAAATAGAGTTCTTTCTATTGTATAATATTTCTTACGCAGAACTTGCCTTGTATAGGACTTCCTATCAAAGAATTCTCTTTTATGGTAAATCCTTCTATTGATAGGATTTGTTCAATCTTGGACAACTGGGCTGAATATACCTTGAACTAGTTGGGCTTGAATAACGGGCCGGATGTTTAATATTAATATGATGGGCTAATAATCTCTTGATCCGGGCTTCAACAGGGCTGAAGGTCAAATAACAGTAGTATTGGGCTTGTGAACAGTGATCTTGAACTAGTATTAAACTCAATTTGGGTTTGAGCGAGGTGGGCTTCATAAACTTATCAAGGATAAGTTTATAATTGCGATGACGTGTACAGTTCTCATTGGAGGGAGATTTTTCTCTCCGCACCCTCGTACACACATGTTCATTTAAACCCACAATATATATATATATGTGAGAGACAGAGAGAGAGAGTAAAGAAGCAAAATATATATATATAGTGTTGTTGGTAATATATATACTTTATGTGACACTTAAGATTTAGCAACCCTTATACTAATATGTTATGAGATAATTAACAATATGCTAAAAATACACAACTATATATTTAATTAAACATGCAAAATAAAGTAATAAATTAATAAATAATAAATAATAAATAAAGAACCTGGACCAAGGCTAGTATTAAATACTATGTACTTAAGACAGATTCGCCCCGCTATGGTGCTAACGGACTCAGCGGTGTCTATCTCTCAGGATACAACGGTTTACATCCACTAGTAGCAGCACTACAAATTCGTGGATACGGCAAACCTCCTCTGTGTAATACTCTCTCTGACTCAAAAATACATCTATACTATATAAATGTTGAATTGGGTGTAATCCGAACCAAATGGTTCAAACCAATCTTAATATGGCTCAATGAAATTGGATTAGGGTCTAAGTGGTTTGAACCACTTAACCTGTGATACCCCCTAATTTTGGAACACGGGTTGATCAAATCCGTGCACAAAATTAAGAGATATCAAAACAATTAAAATATTTCAAACAAGCACATATTACAAAAAGAATTAAAAAATAATAATAATTCGCTGAAGAAAACTAATAAATAATAATTTTATTAATACTTCTTCAAAATTACAACTCGGGAATCCCGTAATGCAAGGACCCCTAAAAACATTATCCAATAATCCAGTCAACTATAAATAAAATAAGTCTATCATCCTACTTTGGAATAAACTGAAAGAGTAGATAAGTTTTCTAGTTGCGAATCCTCAACCTTAAGACTTGAACATCTAATAACCTGAAAAATAAAAATAAGTGGGTCAAACTCACGAGCAAGTTCTCTCTACAAGGTCTTTGAAAACCAACAAGCAGATTATCTTTGATCAAAACCAATCTTATTAAAGTTGTTTTATCTTTAATATACAATAATACACATATTTATAAATAATTATATATACTACACTAATCACACCCATTAATAGGTTCATTAAATTTCCAAACCCATTAAATAATGATTAAATCTATAATCATTACAAAACCAATCCACAATTTATTTTCTTTTAAAAAAAACCTCTTTTAACCTTAATCCCATCCTAGACAATTATTTAATCATTTAAACAATATAATATAATTAAATGAATATTATATTTAATCCAAAACCCAATAGTGATTTAATTATTCAAATCACACAGCCAATATTTAGTCTTTGACAAATCATCCATGTCTCTACCATTATTATTTTATTAATATACATAAAATAATACATTAACATGTAATTATTAGATTATTCTGATTTAAGAATATCTAATCCTAATCCAGCCTATATATACAATAACCATAAATGAAATTTTAATCATCCAACACATAGCAATTTAATTATGCTTTGGCAAATCAACCATGCCATTATAAATATATTTATTTATATATTGGCAATTCAATCATGCCTCCTTAAATATATATTTATACTTTTAAATTAGCAACTCATCCATGCTTTCTATATATGTATGTATTTTGTTAATACAAATAATAAGGCAATATATTTAAGCATTTGTCAATTCATCCATGCCTACAATTCAACCATGTACCAAACCTTAGAATTAATAAAATAATAAAACAACTCATACCTAGGCATTCCATGCATATGATATGCATACAATTAATTTAAACAACCAGCCTAATACAATAATATCAATCATATTACCTATAAACCATGATATACCAAAAAAGAATAATAATATTAATTATCTTAAATGATATACATATCTTATATAATATAAATATATGTACAACACCTTTCATAATAATTCTTGATTATTTAAAATCATATATACATATATATCAATAAATATATAGTTACGGCCCTCGTGTTCTGGTGATGAAAGACAGCTTGGGATGATTTTTAGTGTATGGATAGGTTCAGGAGAGAGAAAGAGTGTGAGAATTATAAAAGAGAAGCTTTTAGAGCATACAATCTTTAGTCTGATTTTTAAAATTTGAAATTTGAGTTAAAAAAAAAAAAAAAAAAAAAAAAAAAAAAAAGGTGGAGGGATTTTGAAATTTTAGACGGAGTTACTCCTCCGTTTGCTACCTTCCCTATTTTGTGAAACTTGTGCTGACATAGAATTTTTTTAAAATTTTTAACACATGCCGTGTTTGTAGTAGATGGAGGTACCATGTCAGCACAATAACATGATATCTTTGGGGTACTGAATAATTTCCCATTCATTTGACTTTAATTTGAGTTATATGTGGAGTATGGGTTAATTTCTCGTTCATTTGATTTTTATAAATCATTTTCTTTTCACTTTCTTGCTAACTAAACTAATCGAACAACATTTTCCCACAAAAGTTTTACAAAAAAATCATGCTAACCAAATGTATGATAGAAACATAATTTTCTTTTCTTTCACTTCACTTTTCAACGTCAATTTCCGACTAACCAAACGAACCCCAAAATGAACAGGATAATAGATACATATGGTGTATTTTTTTATGCCTCTTTAATAAGGAGGTGGTTGTACATTGTAACCAAAAAAAAAAAATTAATAAAATAAAAAATGGTACGTACTAGCAATTGATCAGCTCTTTATTTCCTGTAAAGACCCAAAAATGTAGAAGCACGAAAGTTTCAGTAACCAAACCTGAAAATTGTTGTAACAAACCAACTTAAGCCCGTGCATTTAGAAAGTAGACAATGAATTACAGTCCCTAGATCATTTGTTTTCATTAGACAGACACTTTGGTAGTCTATTAACACGACGATATCTTCTTATCGTTGCCATACTCTTTGGTTAAGAGATGAGAGATGTAAATGCCATTATATATATATATATAGATATACACACATGGGCGGAGCCAAGATTGCAAAGTAGGGAGGGCTAAAAATAATTAAATCCATGATTGCTTAATGTGTCATCCATGCTCTAAATACATAATTATCATGTATCAGTTATTCAATTAAACCCAATAATCTACAACCTTCTAATACATTTACACTTCCAAACTCTAATGTATTTTCATAGTCAATAATCCATTGAAGTTTGCTTCATACAAGTATTAAAACAAACAATTACAAGAATGCAAGATATATATGTTCCTTATCAATAAATTCACATTAGAAAGTAAGACATATGTGCTCCGCCCCTGACTAGTAAATTATTCAATTATATTGTAAATTATTCAATTTAATAAGAAATTATCAAGTCATCAACAAAGCCCCCACCCCCCCCCCCCCCCCTTTTTTTTTTTTTTTTTTTTTACAAAAATAAAATTCAATATTTCACTGGATTAACAAAAATAATCCATGATATCCATCCACCTATACCTTAGTACCTTACACACGGAGAGTTTAGGTCTTCTTCGATAGACTAACAATGTGTTTGATTTACTGGGTTGGGCCCTATTATATTTTATTATGGTTTATTTTTGTGATTGGGCATATCTATAGTTCGTGGGTTTACTCATATTTAAGGTTTGACCTTTGTAAATTTTAAAACTCTTTTTATTTATAGAAATATTATGGACTGGGCTGGGCTGATAAGAAGATGAAGAGTAGTACATAGAATTATAGGAACAATAGTACTAATTTTTTTTTTTTCAATTCGACCTGGGCTATAGCCCTGGTTAGCCCATTACTAGTTCCTCCCTATAATTTATATGTGCTGAAACCATCATTACAGCCGATTGGAACCTCCCAAGCTCTTTCTTCGAACCTTCCCACAACATGCAATCCCTTCTTCTCTCTCGCCTTATCCCATTATTGGGTGATGGATGCTCACTGTTTAATTTGTTTACTCTATCTCTATCTCTATCTCCTTCTTATTTTAATTTATTTTATTATTATTACCTTTCTTTGAGATTTGGGAAGTAGCTAGTGGACCCAAAAATATATTTTGAGGTGGGTTAATATCACTTTTTTTTTTTGACTGGGCTAAAATTACTTGTAGTAATTTTTATTTTAATTTATTTATAATTATTTTTATGTGGGTGGGCTCAAGCCCACCAGAGCCCCCTGCATCCGCCCTTGCACATGGGAGGAGTAAAGACGAGCATAGGGAGAGGTCGATGCTGCCGTTTAGAGTGGCAGGTGGCGGCGGTGGCTCGTTTGCGTTTGGGGATGTGGTTGCGAGCGGTGGCGATTTCTATTGGCTCACTGTGTCTGTATTTCTTTCCTCCTGTTAGCTCAAATCCTCAATTTTTTTGGTTTAT